TCAGCAAAAAATAATCGCGAGACTGAAGTGACAGACTACTCATGACAGAAGCAAAACTCACACTTTTCTTGCAGATGTATCAATTCGCAGAATCTTGAGAATCATAATGATTCTTGAAACAGATGTTTTAATACGGTGAAAGATAGGTAAAAATATCCTCAAATCTCACATCATTTTCTTTCCAACAGATGTAGAAATGCACTATTACCGAACGAGAGCACTGCTTAAGTTATTTCTGAACCTTACTTACCCTTTAGTAGAAGCATGAAACTTAGACAAGCACTTCAATATAGCCGAATTAAGATCCCTTCTTCCTTGAATGCAAGATATCATAGGAACATAAGTAAGAGGATCGCGAACGACATAAATTACACAGTTCATAAGTTGATTTAATTCACACTCTGATGGTCCATGTTGGCATTCACAGCTAGAAAGTTTCCATATTTAGATGAAATGTTATATACACTTATATTTTTGGTCTATATTAAGTAAATTTTTCAGAAAAAACATTATCTTTCAATACTGAAAACAAATTTCTAGGCAAAGGAATGTTCTCATGGATGCTAACAAAGTACAGAGTACAGCAATAACTAAAGGAAGGCAGTTTTTCCATGAAAATATGAGTACAATATGATTAAAAATTAATAACTAATGTAAGATTACTTGTAACTGCTGTCAAATTTGTAGCACTTTGCTTTGCCAAAAGGCACTATTTTTATTGATATTCTATTCGTTACAGACAATTCCTTCCAGGCTGGAAGAAGTCGTCGATGAATAAAGCTTGAAGTATCTGAACACTGTGACTCTATATACACTGCTAAATTCACTACACTATAAGCAGGAAGCGGAGACAACTGTTGCGTTGATTGGTGAAACTAAAAATTTTTTTCTTTGCATACGAATTTTTCATTTGTGAATAAATTAATTACAATTGTTTGGTAAAATTTCTGTTTTTCATTTACACCGGTAAAATCCATTCAAATGCACAGCTAATGAAATGCTATGCACATGAAAAAACAGCTTTCAATTAAAGAATAAATTGTGTCAGAATAAAACAACATCCATGATGTTTAATAAGAATAACCTCGACCCAAACAAAAACAGTCCAATAACGCTGCTGAAAATTATCTTATTATGCTCAAAATATTACAGTACTGCAGGTGAAAATTAATATACAATCATTTTATGCATTTACTTTTCCAACGTTTACTTCCTTTTCATAGAGATGCATAAGAGTTATTACAAGAAACTAGTATCTTGGAATCCTTAAATTTATCACATCAATATCAGTTCCACAAAAAATTACCAGAATATTCAATCAAAATTTCGAATTACTTTTATCCATTAAATTCTTACCACACCATTATTTTTTTCCAATCTCATTTTTAAACGAAAAATTTCTGAAGCTCTATATTTCACGTTTTTAAACTTATCAAGAAGTTAGAAATTATTATTACCGCAATTCTCAAGTCAGGATAAATCCGATGATGAATGGAGTCATAACTATTGCGAAAAATGGTGGAGGGTGAATAATCCGTAGTAGTAGCAACATAGGGTGCGCATCTTGTTGATTTTCTAAGGTCTGACAATAAGGTACAAAAATAGGCAAAGATAAAAATTAATAACTTCATCACAGCAGTAACAGATACCAACAATGCAAAACTGCCCAAATATTGCTGCGTTTAAACGCCTGTACTAAAAAAATTGAGCCACTTGAAGTCCATGAAATTAAGATCTCTGTTAAATCCAGTTACTTTTCAGAACCTCAATATAACAAATATATATATATGTGTACAGCTTCTCATTTTTCCATACAACTACATGACATTGCTAAGTGAATTCAAATATATTTTACTGTCATTTAGACAGTCTTAACGAAAATGTTTCAAGTGTAGTTAAGTTAAAAATATTCTACCGTTTCAGAGATTTCCAGACAAGTAAGCAAACTAAGATTAAATTTCAATTCTAGAAGTTCAAGCTAGTTCATTCACACACTCATGCACATTAATGATGTTACTAATGATAATTCCCAAGCAGAAAAAATCGACTGATCACAAAGCATAAGTTACAGAAAATTTCGATTAATTTACAACTTTTATGTAATGTCACTACATACACTTTAAGTACGCTATTCACAGAGATCGGTAAAACAAGTGGAGTTTGATATTACGAATAGTTCAAAATGAAAATATCTCAAAAATTTCTTCAAAATAATGATTTATTTAATTTCAATGTAACCCATTACTTTTCCTTTACAGATTTTAACTTCTCTGTTAAATTTTGCACAAATTTTACTTTTCAGATTAATAAAGTTAACACAAATGTGCACTCTATTCATTTATAATTTGCACAGGAAAATAAGCTTCACTACAAATTGAAATTGTTCCAAGAAAATTATAAACAAACTACATAATTACAAGATTTTGAAAGATAAGTGTTACAGATAAGAAACTCTACAACAATAACTTTCTTCTATAACCTTTTCAATGTGACAAACAATCTTAATAACTAATTTTCGCACATAAATAAATCGAAAGCACAAATGCCTAAGATCATTGACAGAATTAATTATTAGCCCTTCAACTTTCAAAACTTTTTGAATGACTACTTGTTGACAAATTGCTATGAATGCAATTCTCGTGCAAGGAATTATCTGTGCGACAAACCACAAAAAAAAGTGAAAAATTCTTATCACTAAGAACAGTTAAATAATCTGCTATTTAGAAGACACCGAGTATACTACTTTTATGATGTAGTCATCACAAGAAACGAAAAAGTAAAATCATTGGAACTGATAATGAAAATAATCACTAAAAAATAATGATAGAAAGATTATGCCTGATTCGAAATAGCGTGGGTTAAGATACCAATCAGTAACTTTTTTATCAAAAGAAAAAAAATACCTCGCATGAATTTTTGAAGTTTAACAAATAGAATAATTGTAAATGAGTATCGGACTCAAATTTTATAAACTAATCATCAATCAAAAGTAGAGACACAGCGGAATGATAATATAAAAAATTTTTTCACACAGACCTGAAAAAGTTTTTACTTAAACAAATTATCACTCAAATGTAAGCTGAGTGCAAAAAACGTGCAGTGCATTATATCACTGCTTTCAAAAATTGAAAATACCATTCTAATATAATTCTCGTAACCCAGACGTATGAGATGATGCATTATAAAAAAGAAAAATATTCATGCTGTACATATTTTTTTTATTAACGAAAGATTTTTAGCAATTGCAAAGGTAATAAACTAGTTACTACTAAATTAATCACTAGTGTACCTATCGTAAATCATCACAATCTCTCTATGAACATTACATATTTCAAACACTTGCATAATTTTACTTAATTTTCAAGGATTCATCCATTCTACTAAAAAGTGAAGAGAAAAAAAAAACTGAATTCTTGGGATTTTGACAATTTTAAACTTTCTACAGCTGCAATTCTGCATAAAACAAAGAAATCTTCTGACGGTTTAATTACATATAAGTTCACGAAGTATAATTAGAAGTAGTAAGACTAGTAATGTTCAGTGAAATTCTACTACAAAATAAGATAAGTCATTTATGATCGCACTAAATATTTAAAAAAGAATTTCTTATTGAATATTTTCATCTTCTGCTTACACAGTGGAAAATATTTCATGAAATTTCTAATTATTACATACTAACGAAAAACCAAGACTTCCGGTTCATAAAAATTCAGCATGATACTACAGTAGGAAATGATGACCATTTGTAATTATCACGAAAAAATTTCAAACTTATGCTACTTAAAAAAATGTATGATAACTATGGAAATACAAGCATGATTTCTATCTGCAGAATTCCTACAACACTGATTTTGCACAGCAACTATTTTTTATGAAACAATATATAATCAGAAGTTTTATTCCAACCACATAAGCAAAATGCTTCGCTGCACTTACCGATTTTCTGCTTCCAGTACTTCTCTCTAAGACCAAAATGAATAACCACTGGTACAAGACAAATATCAAAATTATCCCGGGGATTAAAATGATATGACGACATTTGAAACGAAATAAATACTGCATTATACTCACTGGTTCTTCATTATCCATCACTGAAAAAGCTAGTTTTTACGTTATATGTATGATAAATAACGTAATCTGAAACTTTAGCACATTCAATATATTTTTATTCACACATATAAGTATATATAAGTAGGCTGAGCAGATCATTTAAAATAAGAGCACCATACATAAACCCTCCAAAAAAGGATATTTTATTTGTCAAAAAATACTTTCGATTTTATTACAAAGTAATGATTACCTATTAGTGATTTAATGAATATATTTCTATAATATTGATCGCGAAAAAGAAGATATATTTCAGTTATCTTAATAATCTTCTGAACGTTACTATTTAAGATAAAAAGATTATGAACTGATGAATGTTAATTTTTTTTTCACAGAACATGTGAAAGTCATTTTTGAAGTTCATATTTTGACTTCATTCTCTTTGAAAGATACATTCTCAAAACTTTTATTGAACATAACTCACTCTCCAACTTCATAAATTGTCATAAACATTCATTCAGAAATAGCAAACCAGAATACTGTTTGGAAATGAATGAAATACTGGAAGAGTCTCAATTACACAACGTTAATGAAATGCATTCCTGTTCAGATCTACAACCTCAGCAAGAGTGCTATGTACTGTAATCCACCAAAAAGTTAATGAAAATGCTGCTTCCAGAGACTGAACTCCAGTTATTAATAATAATCATTTAAACCTGACACATTGATAAGAATACTAATCTTATCACTAAATAGTCAGATTTTCCATCAATAATGCAAATATTGACACTAGATTTTGATAAAATCGACAAGAAATATTTACCAAATGAGAAAACAAAAGAAAAATTTATAAATGTTAAAATTTCAACGATAGTTTTACATCATCTAATAAACTTATGAGACAGGTATGAGAACTTACCAACCGGTTTCTATCAAAATTACCACAGTGATAGATAACTCAGACAACATATAAGGCAGGCTTGTAGTAACCTGATAATTTTCTTCATTGTATATTGGTTATTTAACACCCGGAAAACGATCCACTCACATGAATCATTAATGGACCAACACAAACATATCTGAGTTCACTTATACCAAAGTAAATGTCGTCGCTTCTATCTACAAAGTAGACTTGTAAAATCAAAACTTATTTAGTACTCGGTCAAAGTTGAAAATAACCTACTTTACAACACTAGTAGAGAACAAAGATAAAGGACATTAGTAGACAAAATTAATAAACAAAGACTCATGATGAGAACGATGGAAAAAAAGAGAAACATTATTGCAGTAGAGTGCACATAGCTGAAGAGACAGCTGAAAACTTAAAGATGAGAAGAAAATGAGAATAATGAAGAAATAAGATTGGAAACAAAACAGACGCATTACTAAGATTTTGACATCTGCTAGTCCCAGAATCCAACTGAAGTTAAGTGAATGATATTTTAGTAGGTAGGAAATAATTGTCCACAAAAGATCTTTCCCCATCATTCCACCTCTTATCTTAAGAGCACACTGATTTTATTCAGGCTTTTGCGAGTCGAACTTCGACTTTTTGCAAATCGAATCCGGAACTGCGAACGAACAACGCTGTAATGTGCTGGTGGATGATTTCTACTTGTTTGGTAAGTGCAAAAGTGTGGTGGTTTCGCCCTAGGTTTTGGTTTTTTGTAAGAGGGAAGAATGCTAATGTCAAAGGTTATTTGCAATATTTAGTTATCACTAGGGATTTTTTTTCTTAATATGATCACACGTGGCGACTTTTGGCTTGTTTGCCATGAAGAATTTCAGACGGAAGAATAAAAATAAGAACACCGTATTTTGGTTCATATCATTAGAATTTATAGCTGTATTTATTGGTTTCATATTTACTTTCTTATCATGTTTTACCCATCAAAATAAATAGATGCTAATATATGCCCCTACAAATTGGCATCAGTGATGCAGTTGGAAACAAAAGTAAAACTTAGGTAATTTGACTATAGCAATTATTGGTTCAGTTGGTTCAAAACCTTCTTTCTTCATACTTCAGTAAATCGTAATTCAAGTCATATATATCGTTCGTTTCATGTTAAACTTTTTTGGCTTTCAACTTCATCATAAAATTTTAGTCAGGAAAATAAAGGAGGAAGTGGCAAATGGATGTTTTTGAAAGTAAAATATTGCCGTCAGTTGCTTCAGTTGACGGTAAGCTTGTTATTTTGGCTTTGATTTGCATACGTTTTAGCGTTGAAAACTTATCGAACAGTGATCTTCCATCGACAATTACTTCTTGAAATCGTCTGTCTATCTACATTTTATTTAGTTTGAGGAAAGATAAGGTGAAATGAGGCAAAAGA